ACCGTAGCCATCATGTCGAAGGAGTATAAGTCTTCAGTAGTATAGAAAGAACCCTTGATAGAAAAATATTTGCAAGAGCCATTGATGACAGATCTGCTAAGACCCTACTCTCTCTAATTAAAGAAAATATAAACCTTGGTTCCATTATTTATTCAGACCTGTAGTATGCTTATACAAGAATAAACACTGATTTAGGGTTTCAACATCAAACTATAAATCATAGTTTAAACTTTGTCGACCCTACTACTGGTACCCATATAAATACTATTAAAGGAATCTGGAATAGTATCAAAATTCAGGTTAATCAATTTAATTCCTTATAGCTGTTATTATAATTCCTGGGAATACTCATAAAAAATTAGCTGAATAATTTTCGACTAATCTGATTAATTTATTATTTTGGTATACAGCTGTTTTCTAGTTGTTTTCATAATTCCTAGGACACCTGTAAAAAATTAGCCAAATGATTTTTTAGCTGATCTGGTTAAGTTATTATTTTAGCATAATCAATTCAATAAAAATTCATCTATTATACTGAAATAATAACTTAATAGCCAAAAAATCATTCTGCTAATTTTTTACAAGTATCTCAGGAATTATGAAAACAGCTGTAAATCAACTATTATATTTATAAATTAAACTTGCAATAGCTAATTGCAACTAATTATCTATAGGTGCAAAATAATTCCCAGAAGTAATTTCAAATTATGGCCTATGCTAAATTTAACTTACTTTATTATCTCGAAATAATGTCTGGGTGTAGATTAAAAATTTGGCCCAAATTAAGTTAAACTGAATTAAGCTTAATTTGGGACAGATTTTTAATCTACACCCAGGAGTTATTTTAAGACAATATGATAGGACATTATTTTGTTCTTACCAAAATAATAAAAATTGGTCTGATTAATTAATTGATATTTTTTTTTTTAGATTCCATCAAGAAGCCATACAAAGTCTAAAATTTCAGACCACTTGTTTGAGTTCATATAGTGCTGGCAGAACAAAGATAATCTTTGGAAGAAGATGTTAGAATGTATGAAGAATATAGGATATTTTGAAGAGGAAGAAACAGATGAGAGTGAGAGTGAAGAGGATGAAAAGGAAAATACGAAGAATGACGAAAAGGAGAATAATGAAGATGGACATGAAGATGAGTATGATGAAGTGAATGATGAGAATGATGAAGAGAAGGATGAAGAGAGGGATGAAAATTATGATAGTGATAGTGTGAATAATGAGGACGAAAATGAAAATGAGAATAGAGATAATGATATTAGAAATGATAGTGATTATAGCACCGAGAACAAAAATGAAAATGAAGATAGAGATGATAATAATAGAAGTGGTAGAAATACGTTATCATAAGTATTATTTTAAAAATGATAAAAAAGAAATTTGATAATTATTTACTTACCATAAATATCAGCAGCTACTTAAAAATTATACTTAATATTCAAATGTTAAATCTACTAACTGTTAAATAATTATGGTTAATATTAAAATAAATTAATTAATTAATTCATCAAAAAAAAAAATAGTTACCATACAGCATGGACTAAAATACTCAGAGTACTTACAATTTAAGCAGTATATATGGGTATTATAGTTAGAGAAATACTATTCCTTAAACCGTCCAGCAGCTAAATATACCCGCTAGAATATTTTTTTTTATATTTTTTTATAATTGCTTAAAATTTTA